CTCACTGTGCTTTTCAAGATCTCGTTCTGTTTGAGAAAAGGAGTGAAGAGGAGAGACAAAGCCATTATCCTTCCTCTCATTTCCGGATCACCACCTCCCATCCGTACCCTTTGGGGATGTTCTGCGGGACTGACCGTCAGACTCAGACCCGGCCGCAGAACAGAAAACCTGAAATTCAGATTCAGTGTTTTATTTTTCACAAGCCTGTTTATTCGCAGGCACCGGAGGTACACAAATTGAAGTTGCAATCCTAGATATTATCCACAGGTGGGAAGCAAGCACCGTTCATTTCAACAGGCGTTTACTTCTTGGTAGATGCGTGCTGGGGTTACTTTGCAAGCCGGCTGGTGCCCGTGCAGAGCAAGGGAACTGCGGTCAAAGAAACCTCACTCTCCCTTCTGAATTTATGGGATACCATTCAGCTTTACGTCTTCCAGACCGGCCGGTTACAAAGCAGAACAAAACACTGCAATGTAATCCAGATTTTAACAACTTTGACATTTCTTTCTGGGTGAATCATGGACACGCATACCTATTAAAATATCTTTATTTAAGTCCCAAATACAAAATTGCTTCTGAAAATCATGGGGTCGTCTTAATTGCAAACGTATAACCACATACTTGCGACTGTACTGATATGAAATGCACAGACTGTGCAGAGTAAGGCTCTTATAAACTTGCTGTAAAACACACACACACACACAGAGCCCAGTCCCCAAATTCATCATTTTGCCACTCGGCTATATATTGTCTGCACCATATCTGCAAGAAAAATTGATGTCTCTGATACACACGTGCTAAAGGTCATCTTAAATGATTGTTAAATGGGCTGCCTCAAATATTGATACAATCTCAATTTAAGGTAAGGGGCCACCCAACCCCGGTTGGGAGGATAGCAAGTCCAGGGAAAGATATTTCCATTACAATTCACCCCTATGCCAGTTAAAGAGCAAAGACTAAACAGCCTGGTATTTTTTATTCTAACTATAGCTCTACAAGAAGGTTTGTCACTGTTCAAAAAGGTTCCAGCCTCCAAAAATTAAATCACTTTCCATATATTTATCTCCAAAATTGGATACATATTTTATATGGGAGATATTTCGATCAAAATGCCATTAATTTTTCCAGTGAATTTTTTCAAGTGAATGTGGATTTTGAGGCCCCAATCCATTGAACGCTCCAGCTGCTATAAAATTTATACATGCACATATTCCATCAATTTCAGTGGGTTAGCATGCCAGCTTGAAATGAAATTCCAATTTGGAATGTATTCATTTCTTTATCTTGACCCTTTCTCAAGCTACAACTTAAAATGACTGTCGGCTTGTTTGTAACCTTAATTCTTCTAATCTGCTTGGGGATGCATCTTTTAGCTTTCATGCCCTAAAACCTGACAACTTTTATTTCCATGAACAGAATCCCAAAATATTAAAGAAAATAACCAGAGATTGTCAATTGGTCACGTGGGCAAACCTGCTTACAGTCAAGCTTTTTCTGCTGCTTTTAGCTTGCAAGAAATCAAGAAACAAAATAGCTGGAAGTTTTGATAGAAGAGGAAGGGCTTCCTATAAGCTATTTAAGTTGTAGTTGGTTTAAAATAAAATTGTGCTCCCATTCTAATTCTAACACCACCATTTGGTTTATTGTATGAATGGTAGCAAAAATGCAGCCAGACTTGGACTTTTTCTGAAAGAAATTCAATAGAAAGCACCAAGCAGTGCATCAAGCAGTGCAAGTACAACTTTTGGAGACTTCAGTTAATATCCAATTGTACATGTTTCCCCAGGCTGCCAGCTGTGTTGTGCCTTCTGTTGAGGATGATTGAAGTTGTAGCTATCTGGAGGTTACCAGGTTGAAGAAAATTTCAATAACACAACTGCACATTTTGCAGTTTGCATGTTTATGCAGCGACAAAGAATACTCATTGGCACTCAGGGGGGGAGGGGGGGGGAGAAGGAATATACATCTGAAACTGCAACACCACCTGGAATTTAGAGTCAAACCATTCCAATTCCTCTGGGTTTGGAAGGCAGTTGCTGTTGTAGGCATAACAACAGAAGTTGTTCCCCATCCTCCCTTCCTTCTGCCAAATTATATTCCTTTCCTGAGATGCCTAGAAATTCTAGGATAGAACTCTAATGTTCTTGAGCCTCAATTAACAATTTTAAGTCAAAATGTGGATTGTGATGGGAAACTAGTAACTGGGGGGTTGCAAACTGATGGTTTCATCCTCAAACTGAAATTAGGATCTTTTCCAACCCACATCTGAGCAAAGTCTAAACACTTGGATTTAAACTGGAATGGAAACTTTTCCAACATTGGAAAAGCCAGAAGAATTAGAGAAAGAGTTTTTTCCTAAAGCCAGTGATTTTTTCAAGGCGTTCTTGGTAGATCCTTCTGCATATCATTGCTGAGAACATTCCAAAGGATTTCATTCAGGGTCAAATTTATAAAGATGTTGGCTCCCAAGACAGTTTCTACAAAATTCCAGTGGATTCCTTTAGCCAATTTGTGAATCCATGACTAGTTTCGCATGTCTGCAGTCCTAAAAGGCCTTGAGACTAGAAACCAATGCGGCTAAAAGGGATGGGGTTTATTTTGAAGGGTGAGTTGCAATTTCATCTAAAGAAATATTTTCCCCCTTCCCCTCATGGACCTGTGTTAGTTGCACAGCAACTCCGGAAACCTGGTCAGAAGGGAAGCCAAAGGGCTGCTCCAGTCAGTGCTACTATCTCTGAAGCTTCCCTGTCTTTCTCATTTTAAAAAAGTCTTCCTTAGGAATAAAGGAAGATGGATGTTTTATTATATATGAATTAATATATGACTATCTCGAGGACCATTTCCAATCGGCCACAGGAATGCAATTCATACTTGGGGTGGGCATGTTCTCCTATCCACGGGCCTCCAATTTACCCGGCTCTGAATTCCAGAAAACATGATACACTATGTAAACAAAATTTGAAATATAAATTACTTCAAATTGAGAATATTTTATTTGGAAATCAACCCAAAATCATCGCCTCTATCCCCTACGGCCAGCCCTGATCAGGGTCAAATTCTTCCCTACTCCTTTTGGCTCATGAGCTTGGCTTGGGGTCGGGGACACCAGGCTATTGTTTCTCTGGGCAGGGCCCTCAAGCAAGCCTCGCCGCCCCATTCCAAACGCATCGGAGGAACCTTCCCCCTGGATCCATCCGGGACGCCTAAGAAACGAGCCGGGCTTTTGTTGCATTAACCGAAACTCCCGATCTTCCCCCCTCTCCCCGGTTGGTCCCTAAATTTCAATCGATTAAGGGCGGACTTAGCCGGATGCGGCTAAGAAGCGCGGCCCGCTCCGCTTCTGAGCAAGGTCTTTCAGCGGCCCGTCCGAAGAGAGCGGGCCTGTCTAAGCGGAGAGGGTTCGACGCTGGTGGTGGCCTGGGAGCCTCGCCTTCCCCGCCCCATTCCTTCCCGGGCCCGCGGGAGACACTGACCAGCTCCTTCTTCCTCTTGTCCTCCTTGAGGTCGGTCTTCTTGATCTCCGCCTTGAAGGCCTCGGCCTCGCCGTTGGCGTCGTCCTTGGCCAGGAGGTCCATGAGGTAGGCGATGTAGCTGGTGGCCAACCGCAGCGTCTTGATCTTGGAGAGCTTGGTGTCGGCCGGGACGTTGGGGATGCACTCGCGCAGCTCGGCGAAGGCGCTGTTGATGCTCTGAGTCCTGCGCCGCTCCTTGCGGTTGGCCGTGCCACGCCGTTTGACCGGCCGGGGGCCGCCCCCCAAGCCCGGCGGCCCGCCGCCACTACCAGGGGGAGCCACGCCGCCCACGTAGTGGTGGGGATGCTCCAGGCCTGGCGCTCCGTTGGCGTACTCGGGGCTGTACGAGAGCGCCATGCTGTAGTCGGGCGGAGACATCTCCGAAGGGTGGCTGCTGATCAACCAGCCGTGGAAGTAGGGGTTCTCCTCGTGGCTGCAGCGGCTGGCGGCGGCGGCGGCGGCGGCGGCTGCGGCGGCGGCGGCGAAGGGGTAGCCGTCATGGTGGACCACCGAGTGGTGGGGGAAGCCACCTACCAAACTCATCGCCGCCGGCCTTCCCCGGCCGCCCGCCACCCTGGATCCGCTCCCCTGGATCTCCGCTCCCGTGAAGACCCCCGCCTTAGCACCAGCTCGTCGCCATCGGGCAGGCGCTGCCAAGTCCCCCGGGCGCCGAGAGGGCAGGCTCAGTCCCCACCGCCGCACTCATACGGGGCGGGAGGGGGGCTTAACCTTGGAAGCTGCAGACACGGTAAGGAAAGCAGCCCCCCCCTCCCCGAAGGGATCAGCTGTCCTCCCTTAGCGTCTTCCGAGGAACTGTCGACCAAACTGGCAAGAAAGCGGGCGGTTAAAGGGCTGGTTACTTACACCTGCATTTTTTGCCCCTAACTTCCCCACGTCTCCCTCCCCTCTGCCGCCCAGCTCCCCAGGCCCGCCGCCTGGACGGGAATCGCCTCTCCTTCGATTAAAGTGTGAGCAGCACAGTCTCCTCCTCTTGGGTCTAGTTCTTCTCCCGGGAATGTAAAACCCAGCCAGTCCGTTTTCGGGGAAGGAGGGGAAATCCGGCGGTCTTCCTGCTCCGACGTGGACGGTCTCGAAAGAGGGAAGAAAAAGGATGAAACAGAGCACAACGCTTAGATGGCAGAGTCGGAGCTGCGCAACGCACTGGTCGATTTTCCCAGCTTGAGCTCCATGTACAGCTACATCTTTAGGGTAGTTCGGGTTAATATATGTCGTCAGAGGCTCTTTAAGCCAATCACTACAGACCGGGGCGGGGCATTTCGCTTTGAGCCGTAAAACGTTTTTTTGATCTTCGCGCTGCTAATTGTCCAGCTTCTCTTTTAGGATTGGCTGCCGTTTCTATCCGTAATACAATTAAAACAAACCAGGAAAAGTCGCTGCCCACCCCCCTCACATTCAGAGATTAATGCAAGTATTTAACAATGTTTTCCTGTAAGTATCTTCGTGCCTGCCCTGTGTTTTGGTGGAAAATCTTATCTATTAAAATGGATTGAAAGTAAAACAAGGAAGACGTTTGACTGTGTCAGTTCAGATGTATTATTATAATATGATATTATGATGTAAGTATATCTATATACTGCCAACCAATGAATAATATACCAGAATACAATAGTATTGTATGTTTGATATAAAAGTATGCTTATAGTTAAAACTGGTTAAATTATATACTACTAGTACATTTACAAAGATGAGGGGAGAATATCTGATGCTGAGGCAAGCCATTTACATTGTCGTCTATTGTCACTTAAATGTAAACCTCTCCGTAGTCCAGAAAGAATATCCTGAAAATTTTATTAATGAGTCTATTTTTGCAAGCCATCTTATTCCAGCCAATGAGACCTCTAGGTTTGTATAAGATTCCTTTAATACAAAATGATGCCTGCTTGTTCAGTGTTATTCATATAGAAAAATAAATAAAAATACCCTCTCCCCCAAAAGAAGAGGAAAGCAAAAAGGAAATGGGGGAGTGGGGGGGGGGGAGGAAGGAAAATAAAAGTAGGAATTGTATGCTCTATAAAGGGGAGAACCAGGTCTGATATTAAGGAAACAGTCAGTTATTCAAAATGCTGACCTAAAATGATTTTAATCTTAATGCTCCTCCCCAGGCTTCTTGGTCTGTCCGGTATCACCACCTGAAATCAGCCATCCCTTCATTTAGCCTTGGTAAGTAATCAAATCTTTTCAACAGCACCTCAAGCTCTTAATTTTTATATTTCTGCTAAAAAAAATCTAAGCATATGCTTGTACTTTTTGTATTTAACAATAAAAGACACATCCAAACAGCTACTTTATGACTGTTACTACCAGTGTGGCCAGAAAAAATGAGGAAAACATGTTTGACCTAACAGTAATATTAGGCTAAAGTATGTAGATATATCCTTCCTTTATTATTTTTACAAATAATTCAAGGTCTATACAACACACCTTACTCCTATGTTCCCCACAACTACAACTCTATGAGTTGGGCTGAAAGAGAATGCAGCCAGCTGGCTAAGGCGGGACATGAATTTTCTGAAGTACTAGGTAACAAAGTCCTGATAAAAATTAGTATTCATATGTAGTTTTTGGGCATATGAAATGTTGAACACACAGAAACAAGAAAAAGTTCATTTCATGCATGCACTAGAAATTTGAACTTAAGCAACGTCTAGCCTTGTTCCTGAGGGAGGATCGATATGTGAGGGAAAGACCCCCCCACACACACACTTGGGAAGAAGAGTAAGGTTAAAATAATTTAGGACACAGCCCCAAACATAAAGGGAGCAATAGATCAAATGATCACACTTATCCTGGAAAACTTTATTTTTGTTTCTGCCATATGGGCTTAATTATCTCCTGATCACAATCATAGAACTGTACAAAGAATAAACGTTTCTTGATCTCTGTTGCTTCAAGAAAAATTCCTGAAAGCAAAATTACAGCTTACCTGTGACCTGAAAATGGAAAAGAATGGGAGGAATACATAAAATAATTGTATAGGTTCTGGTTCATCAGAAAGAAGAGGAGGAGGAGGAGGGGGAGGAGGAGGAAACAAACAAACAAAAATCCAGCCAAAACAGAAGGGGTCTTCCCACTCCAACTCTGGATTTTGCAAAATGGGGACCCTGTTTTATTTCAAGACTACTGCTTGATCTCACTGCTACCCACTCCTCAAGCGGTCATAGCCAAAGGCAGAAGTGAGACAAAATCTGATGGCTGCAGACCTTAAAGTGGACTGTGGCAGGGCTCATATCTAACAGTGGGATTTACTCCTGAGTAAGCATTCTTAGAGATGCACAATTAATCTACAAGTTTTCTGCCAGCAAGAGAAGCCTTGCTGTTAATTTGGGTTAGCTTAAGACTGCCTCTCATTCAGTACATTCAAAATTAAATGAATGAGATTCAAATTCTGAATCTTATTCACAGAGATTTTTCTGAATAAAGGTGGGGAAAAGTCCCATTTATTTCACTGATTCATTTTAAATAATGGCTAAATCTAACTCAAAGCATTCTGCTGCCACTGATGCCTCCATTGTAACCTATTTGAGAAATATTTAGCTCAATAGGAGAAAAGCAGTGTGTGTGTCAGGCCTTTGCTCCTCACTGCATAAAGGAAAGCCCGTTCATTTCTACTGAAATCCCAGAAGAGCAGCAGATTCTCCCAAGACCAGCTAGATAAAGGCTAGGACTGAGACTGAAATGGGAAAAAAAAAGATGCATAAACTTTACCCTATAACTGTCATTATCTTTTTTGCCCAGACAAGCCAATCTGAAATGAATGTCTTTTCACACATGTGAATGCAGGGGAATCTTCATGTAGAAATGGAGAGTTTAATGAAAATAAAAAAACATCTATGGCAACAAATGAGCAAATGCTAAATATGCCCCATATAAAGACGGTCAATGGCACCCATAGTCTGGCCTGCAACGTGCCCCTGTTTAAATTTAGAATCCTCTGGTGGCCTGATATTAAGTCTCATTAAGGAGGGAAAGGACGGTGAGCGCAATCTTAATTATTTACGGGCACCTGAGGACTTTGCCCTGGTTTCTGGGGGAGCCTGACTTGCCCTCAGTATGGCAGATGACTGTCAGGAGAGCAGTAAACGCAAGGAAGCCATTTGGAGCCCCCGCCGGCAATTCGGTTAAATCCAAGCATTTGGCTTGATCCCGATTTTCCGGTTGAGGCATTAAGTCAATTTACACCCAGATCCTAGCATAGTTCCTTGGAAGGAGAGCGGCCCTGTCCACGGGAGCGTTTACCCGCCAGGAATGTATGCAGCCCCGCTGCATTTAAGCGAAAGGCGGCGGAATTTCTTGCCACAACGCCAAATCAGGTTGTTGAGGAAAAGCCGGGATTCGTTTCCTTTTAAATGAAACACCTTCATTTTAGGATTTGTATTGCTAGTCGCTAAACTTTGGAGTGACTTCCCTGATGCGACAGGCATAAAGCAGCCATTGGTTTCCATAATATTGTGTTTAATCGGACGACACTAGTTAACCTGGCTATTAAGGCAGCAATGCGGATACAGGGACTTGCTTTTCCGCACTTCTTGGATCCTCAGCTTCGGCTCTGCCGAGGCGAACGCAGCTCTTGAGACATTTCTCCGGCAAAGTGCTGCGGCTGCTTCTTCGGAGTTTCCGAGAAAAAGTCCCGGCCAGAAACAACGGAGCGAAGGACCACCAGACCCCCTTTGAGAGAGGAGAGGAAAAGCGGAGCACTCGTCTGACACGGACCCAACGAGCGGCCCTTTTCTCGTCTCCGAGCGAGGTGGCTGCTCGATCTGAATCCGTCGGCTTTCCGGAGTGACAGTTTGCCTGACACTATACTGCAGGGCAATTCGGCTTTCACTTCCTCCCGACGTCCTGAGCTTTCCTTACTTTTCCATAAAGAGCCACCTAGGCAAATTCATATTATCACCTCCTTATTAACCAAGGACTTGAAAGATCCATAGAAGTCAATAAAGCCTACGCCCCCTTTGAATGTAATATGCAGGATTAGAAGAAGAAGGGGGGGGAGAGATTATCCTCTGGTTTAAATTGTTGTTTTGGGCTCCTTCCATGCGCCTATAAATTAATGCTTTTTTTTTTTTTACGAAGTCAAAAGAGACAGATGCTCCGTTCGCTTGTTTAGTAAATCGACATTAATTTAAGAGAACTGACGTCCCGCACAGGCCAGGCACTTTCTTCGAGGTATATTGATTGGGTTCTGTAGAGATCCGCTTGGAAATAAATCCCCCGGAGCGAACCAAGAGCTTCCACTGAGAGAGGCTGAGTTGTAGCCAAGTTCGGAAGCTTGTTATGTGTTCGAAGAAGTCGGTTCAAGGCGCATATAGATTTCTTTTCCTGAGTTTGAGCTTTTCTTAAGTTAATTAAGAGGCATGCTACAGCAATGACTGGGAATACACTGTAATAAATTATGAGACCAATGGGGGAGGGGGAGTTATTTGAAAGAAGTGAAATGAAGAAACAATGATTAAAAGGATTAATGGAACAGAAGAGAGAAGTCAGAAAGAGAAAGTTAAGAGGAAAACCATGGCCTGCACCCCGAACTTTCAACTTTGCCTGTCTGATTTCTCTTCCAGAGCTCTTTGTTAGAGGTTTGGGCAGATTACAATCTGGAGCGCGAAGGGCGCTGGGCAGCCCGGGAGGTTTCGAAGGGAGCGGAGATAGACTTAAGAAGGGAGCATTTCAGTCTGTGCCCTGAGTTGCGGCCGCTGGAGAGCCGAGATCAAAAGCGGGGCTCTTCGGTTCTGGGTGCCGCCGGCCAGATGCTCGGTAATGTCTTTGGACATTACGCGTGGAACCGGCGGAGTGGTGACGTCTCAACGAATCTCTCCCACATGCAGATGATTCGCCTTGATTTCCACTTTTCTTGTATCTGTTCCTCTCTTTGCTTTCTATATTTGTCTAAGTTGGACAAAATGTGTTCTCTTTTAGTTTCCTCCCTCCCTCCCTCCCTCCCTCCCTCCCTCCCTCCCTTCCTTCCTTCCTTCCTTCCTTCCTTCCTTCCTCCCTAAAACATGTGTGCCAGAGCAAGAAAAAAAGAACTGTAAGCTTTGTGGCCAAATTCGCTTCCCACTGTCTTCTTTGGCCATGCAAGTAAAAGAAACCAAAAGCTCTACTAAAAGGTCACAGGTCAGAGACACAAAGTGCGCAGTTTCTCTGGCTGTCCTTCCCTGCGAGTTTTCTTCCGTTCTTCCTTCTTAGGTCCCGTTAACAAGGGAGGAAGGCTCAGGATAATTTAAATGTCCATTATTTACAAGCGGTAAAGCTCAAGAGAGGAGCGGAAAGGATGGCTTAAAAAGGATTATTGTAGTTGGTATTTGGAGGAGGAATACAAGCCAATTTTTCCTCCACTCCATCCTCGCCCCTACTTCTACAATGTGCGCGGAGACTTTGGCGTGTTTTAAGGCGAAGGCTCATTCCAGCCTTCGAGGGTTGGTGCTGTTTCTTCATAGCTTCCTTTTTTGCCCCTTAATCATCACACGAGACACTCCTCCCAAGAACATCTCAGTCATAATACAATGTTGAATGAATGCGATTTATTCTTAGGGACGCTCAAATCGGCAGCTGCTGGATATAATAAGCCTTGGTTGTTTGGATTCTCACCGCAAGCAGAGAAATGACTGGGGAAGGAATGACCGTCCACCACTCAGACAGAAAGGAGCCTGGCTCTGCAATTTCCCCCATCTGCGATCCGGATTCTGGAAATTGCCCGCGAAGCCTTTGGCCCAAGGGAAACAGTTGCCCGGGAGAGTAACAAAAGCATCTCACTCCCCTCCCCTCTCCAGCACCACAGGGCAAGTAAAGCGCCTTCTACCGATTCTGTGTTGGGGCCACAAATCTAAGCAACTCCATTCAGACCAGCGGGCTTTCCCGTTTAAATCGGCGGCATTTAGGGTTAGACTGCAGGCCGCCGTTTTGTGTTGCATGCTAAACCTGACAGGTTTATTTAGCAGTAGGTCCCAATTAAAACGCACATACATACATACGTGTCTTTAAAGCAGGACACCAGGAATTTATAAAGTGATACCCAATAATGTCTTGGAAATAAAAACATTCTGTTGTCTCTCCTACACTTTTTTTTTAATCGGTCTGGCAACATAGTTTATTTTTTGATGCAATTTTGACTCATCCTTGGAGTGGATGAGTCAAAATGGATGAGAAAGAAAGGTTTTTCTGTC